TCGTGAAAAGAGAAAGTGCTACTTTGCTTAGACGGAGATTTTATTCTTGGAGCACCAAGACGATGGGGATCAATTCAGGTGGATAAATCGAAAGTGTTGGCTATGACAGAGTGGAGAATACCAAAGATGGTACTAGAGCTGAGATCCTTCCTTAGTTTCATCAACCATTATCAATACATATCTGGATACTTGAAGCACACAGCTTCACTAACGGAGTTGCTAAAGGAGCAGCCTTAGCAATTGTCAAACAAATGTGAAATGGCATGCCAAGACCTAAAGGTTGTTGTGTTAGAAGAACCAGTGTTCAAATTGCTGAACTATGGGAAGTCTTTCGAAGTCCACACAGATACTTTGAACTTTGCTATTGGAGAAGTACTAATGCAAGCGGGTCACCTAGTGCCCTACGAGAATCGTAAGCTCAATAAGATCGAGCGACGATATCTAGTGCACGAGAAGGAGATAATAGTGGTGGTCCATTGTCTACAAGTGTGGCGGAAGCCAGTGGGCCTTTTGGAGCCATTACCTGTACTAGAAAAGCTATTGGAGAGCATTTCGTTAAACTTCATATCAAGCTTGCTGATAGTAGGGGGACTTGGATCGAGATACTTGTGGTGGTCAATCAGTTCTCAAAGTATGCAACATTTATTGTTGCATCCTACACTACTTAACGGAGGAGGCAACCAAGTTGATGATAAAGAATGTGGTGAAGAATACAGCCAAGTTATTGCACTCCTACACTGCTCAATGACCGAGAAGCATGGTTCTTGGGGCGGTTCTTACGATATGAAGAAGCAGTCATCAAAGCCTACCAGCAAGCGTCGACGAGGGCGTCGACAGTTTAAGTGGGGGAGAATATCACGAATAGCCATCGTACACTCATAACACCTTCATCAACGGACCGTTTGTCGCTTTTGTTTGCTTATACACTCTTTAGCAGTGTGTTTTGCCTTGTTTTTGTGTGTTTTTGCTTGAAAACTGTAAGCGGGAATAATTTGCAGAGATGTAGAGCGACTGCTTACCAGAATGGGCAAAACTACCCCAAAATGGTCGAGTTTTCACATGCCATTACTTGTTTTGTGCAAGCTACTGTGCGGTGTGAAACCAGAACCCTAGAACTACCTGGGTGGCACAAGGCTAGATAAGGGTTTGAGGTAGTGTTGGGTGTTGATTGGATTTAGAAGTTCGCACGTAAAACCTATAAGAACTTGACAACGGACCCGATACCCGATGAGCAATCGTTTGTGGACTTGCGACTATTTATTTGCCTTTTAAAGTATATGTTTTCCCTTTCTCTCTTGCACTAAGTGTTTGTTGAATTGCTTGTAAAGCTATCCTCTTTGCAAGATGTTGGACTTGTTCGTCACTTATTTTTTGAAATAATCAATTTACTTTTTATAAGTCCTTTGGATCCTGAGCGAGGTTACATCTAAGCTGATCCTTTGCGGACGGATAATGTAAGGATACCTCATGACTTCGGTAATTTCAGCTAAGACTGTGATAGGATGGCATAGGAATGAATGGCCTCCCAAGAAGTGGGTTTGTCCTTTGAGACACTGAAAATTTGTTGGTCACAACATTGATAACAATGGCCTATTTTGGATCAAATTCACATGCCACATAGACTGCAATGTGCAGCAAAAACCCAAAAACTATCAGCAGGTTGTGCCTCTAGTAAGCAGGTTGGCATAGGACCCTGAGTGGCATAGGACTGGATGTGCCTCTAGTAAGCAGGTTGGTCCCTCACCATGCTCCATAAGCTCGTCGTGCAGCCGTGACATGGGCATAACTTGCTTCTTTTGAACTGTGACACTATAATGGAACTTTTCAGTGCAGATACATGGGCATGCTAGGGCTCCTTAGAACCAGGTAGGTTGCAATGGATGTTAGAAGCACAAATTTCTATAATATGCTTTACTTGCCATAACAAACTTGCATAAAATTCCTTACGAGGACCGGTGGTGAAGAGGTAGGGACCTCTGAAATTTTAACTAGTAAATAATAAAAGATACTTGCATGATACTGCCCTACATGGATCTCAATTGCAAGAAAATATCTAAGTATGTATCCAACTCCAAGTAATTCTTCTGAGATATTATCGCTTCCTTTTGTTGTATTCTCTGCAAAAGTGCACTGATGGTAAGTTCTGTCGTGTGTTGCAAGAGATTTAATAGTAGCTACCTCTAGATATCCCATTTACCAGATCGTAAAAAAATGAAGACTGTGCCCTCATATGTTTTCTTTTGCAACCTTCAGTTTCTTCAATATGTTCTCCCATGTCTTGATCTTGTATTACTTTGAATTTCTCTGGTTTACCAACTGCTGAATCATTAAGTTGTAGATAATTAGTACCATTTGCATCTAAGGTTTTAAATTTCGACCGATATCAGGTTATCAAGTTTTAAACCATATCAACCAAAACACTGATCACTGGCAACCAGCTCTCCCTTTCTTGGCAACCCTCATCCTACTACTCCGGACAGCCAGAAGCACCTCTTCGCTAGTTTTTATGACAAATTTTTACATCTACTCTCCAATAATTAGATTCAACTTTCTCCATCAAGCACCAATCACCCTCACACCCATTGAAAACCTGTTGAAGTCATGTTATTTCCATGTCCTTCCTTATTTTTCTTGTATTCTTGCAATTAAGAATCAAATATTTTTTGTCTTATCTGCCTTCTGTGGCCACTTTGCTCACCCAGTTGTGCCATCAGCACTCAGCATGTTGGTCATACTGAGTGTTGTTAAGGAACAACACCATTATTACACCAAATGGGGGGCAAGGACCAGTACCAATATGACCCTTGACTGTATCTTGCAAGGCACAGGGCAAATCTCTGAATTCATTTTTTCTATACCATATTAAACCATGACCACACTTTGTTTCAAATTCACTATATTCCTACATATTCAGCATTTGATGCTGTCACAGATGGATAAAATATGCTTGCTCAATCGAGTGGTGGAAAGACATGGTGAACAAAGAAGAGAAGAATTAAAGAGAAACCAAAACAAGAAGAGAGAAGATTGAGACTTGCAACTAGTGATTCAAAAAACGCTAGGCGCCAAAAGGTGCCAAGGTCTCAATATGCTCGAGGTGTTAGGCACTCGTCCGAACGAAACGAGATGCTCTGAAATATTAAAATATAAAAAAATATATAATGCAATTGATAAATATGATTATATGAATAAAAATATGATATTAACTACTGTTAACAGTAGATTATCTACTGTTAACAATAGTTAGAGGGAGAGAAAAGAGTCATCGATAGTGGAAAGTAGGGAAGGAAAGGGCAACAGTGACTGAGGAACTTTTGGACGACAAGAGACAAATATACTAGTATGTTAAATCCTTAAAAGATGGGATAATGTACAGCACAGATATCTATTAAATAATAATCTAAATAAACAATAATATACATGACAATGCTTGACATTCACTTAAAAGGACTAAGTTTTAACTAGCTTACCTATCATATTCATCACCAAAGAATTTATTTTTAGTACATAGTACTTCAAGAAAGCAGAAAAGATAACAATAATATATGATAAGGGAAGGTAAAAGCATTATGTTCATTTTGCTGATCATGCTTTGGTACTTGATATTAACCACATAATACAGTATATTTAAAATCTTTAGAGTCACCTCATCCATAATAAAAGATCAACATATATGGGTAAAGAAAAGTTCTCTTAAATAACACAAAGTATCAATAACAATCTTAAACATGACTAGAAACATCTGTAATTATTTAAAAGTCAAATACCTTGAGGAAGTATAGGACATGCATCAAGGATGAGGCAAGAAATTTGAAGTATTTGTGCTTTATGGAAGACTAGCCAAACAATTAGATCTGTGTTAGATTTATCCTGATCTCATATTCATATACAGCAGATCACTCGAGTTGTAAACGACATGTATATTTACCTTTATTTATGAAGAACATGCAATTACTTCCAAAGATAAAAAATATGCAATGACAATCAGTGATTTAAAAAGCGTTAAGCGGCAAAAGGAGCCAAGGTCCAAAAACGCCCGAGGCGCTAGGCGCTCGCCCGAGCGAAGCGAGACGCTAAAATATAAAAATATATAATATAATTAATAAATATAATTATTTAAATTTTAAATAAAAATATGCTATTAAATTAAGAAAATCTATTAACAATATTGAAAATTAATCATTTCAAATAAACTTAATATTAACAGTATACTGTATACTGAGCCTGCTGACTGAGAAACGAGGAAGCAACGGCGAGCAGCGGCAGCGGCGAGCGACGAGCAACGGTAGCAGCAATAGCAGCGGCAGCGTGAAAGGGAGCGGGAGCGACGAGAAGCGGGAGGCGCGAGCAGCGGGAGGCGCGAGCGGCGACAGCGTTTGCGAGCAGCGACAGCGGCGAGCAGCGGGAGGCACGAGCGGCGACAAAGGCAGCGTTTGCGAGCAGCGACAACGGCAGCGAGAGCGGCGAGCAGCGGGAGGCGCGAGCGGCAACAGAGGAAGCGTTTGCGAGCAGCGACAGCAGCGAGCGGCGACAGGAGCGACGAGCGGTGGGAGGCGCGAGCGGCGACAGAGGCAGCATTTGCGAGCAGCGACAGCGGCGACAACGGCAGCGTTTGCCAGCAGCAACAGCGACGAGCAGCGAGATCGAGATCGGGATCGGGAGTGGCAGCGGCAGCGGGTTAGGGTTGGGGAAGGGTTATATCGGTTTAGTTGGTTCGATTGAACCAACTAACCAACCGAACTAGGACCGAACTAGACCTAAAATCCTGGTTCGGTCGCCTTGGTTTACCCAGGCGCTCGTCCGAAGAGGATATTCTGATGACAATGTCATACTTAGAAGGAAACAAAACAACAGAGTCCTTACTAAAACATTTTCTGATGAAGAGGATATTTCAATGTCAAAGTTCAATATAAATAACAGTTAACTGGAAAATGTCAAGCTCGCTAAATCTGTACAGTTCATATTGGAGTTTGATATGGATATCTAATCATTGTCATTACCTTCATCAAGATGGAGAGTGTAGGAACCTAGAGGCATATCTCTATCAAGGCTGCGAATCACATTTTCGTCATCCTCTAGCCAAAATGCCCTTTTGGTTCTTAAACCAAATGCAGACTTGATGGCCTCCTTAATTGCCTCGGCAGTGCCATCGATACCAATCCTTCTTGAGTAATCACCCCATTTGACCAAAATAACCCTTCCATCATAGGAGGCATTATTATCTGCTTAGACAGTAGAAATGAACAATCTAGTCAAAACCAGGGATACTAGCAGTATGTCATGCTACATCTGTTTTGTGTTTACACTGATATATTTGCATATATCATTAGTAATACATCAAGAAGTTGCATGAATGTTCTGAAGCAGTCAAACCAAAATGTTTCTGTTTTCAAGATGATGTCCAAGAAGAAACAAATAAAAAAGTTGTATATTTCTATTAGAAGACATACAAGGACCTTACCATTCACAGAAGGATCTCGCCAACTCCAAGGATTTACACCACTAGCTGCAACCGCTTCAGCAGCTGTTATGGCCAGTGGATGTCTATCATGCTCCAGAGGTCTGTCCATGTTGAGTGGTGATCTACCGTTTGCTAGATAATCATGGATATAGCTATTGTTATACACTGAAAAAAGGATATATATATATATATAGGCACAAATATTACTCACGATACAAAAGCTCTTGTAAGTAGCAATACAACTAAGATTACCACCAATAACAGATGATAAGAAAATGAAGAGGATATTTTTACAAGAGGAACCTCTAACAAGAAAATATCTAATAGCAGCTTTATTCTTGACAAAAAGAATTTAAGTCATAGTGGAAGAAATCAGCAAAATAAAGGCTTCGCATAGAGAGG